CCACATACTTAGAGAACTATCCTTCTAAAACACACACTCATTTCATAGGGCAATCTTGCTAAACTCCAGGTTGTGATTCAGTTGATCTGGGACAGGCTCAAGACTGCATTTCTAACAAGCTCCCAGGCTATGCAGTAATCTTGGACCACATTAAGATTAACAAAGACTTAGAGAAAAACCCAAACTTCCTGCCCATGCCCTACTTTCTTTGGCCCGTGTCCAGCTATCCCACGTCATCTCCAGCCCCAGTTTCACGCTCTCATCATGTGTGGCCACACTGGCCTTCATTCTGTTTTTGGGGTGTGCCAAGTGTTCCGCCCCAGGGCCTTTGCACATGGTGTTCCCATTGCCCAGAGTGCTCCTTTATGAAAGCGCCACGTGGCTTTTTCCTTTTTTGCATTTAGCTCTTTGTCCACTGATCCATCAGAGAAACTCTCCTGATCACTTCATCTAATGAAACACCTTCTCCCTCTCTTCACCCCCTCAGGCTTGCTATTAGCTCTTTGACTTTTTTTTTTTTTTCTTCTTCGTAGCACGTATTCTCTGAATATTCTGGAAATATATTTGTTGACTTGTTACTTTCTTGTTTCTACACTCAATTATGCTTTGCATGCAATAAGGACTTGGTTTCCTTCCCTTGGGCCTATCCCAGGGCCTGGCAGGAAGTATAGGTTTACTGGGTCTGGCTGAGATGCTGAGGTGCATGTGTTGGAGTCTGAGCTGGGGAAAGTCAGAGGTGCTGATAGAGGTGCCCAAGGCAGAGGGGAAGGAAAAAGCAGGGGAGGAAGGTGGCGGTGGGGGGGCCTAGGGGGGGAGTCACAAACTCTCCATATCAAAGATGCCACAGAAAAGTTTCAAGAACCTGGAGATGAAGTTAAACCTAAGAATCGACACATAATAGATAAATTCATCCAACTGGAAAAGATTCCCTCTGGAAGGTGGGGAAGGAAAGTAACGAACAGTTACATGCATTAAGTAAGGCCAGTGGTGTTGGGGCGGTACTTGGCACAACAAATACACATAAAAATGTATTTGTTCAAAAAATATATTTGCTGAATCCCTCCTTTGTGACCATCACTGTAATTGTCTGTTCATTCTCATGACACATAATCTCCATCTTGCAACTGTGGCGAGGGACCTTGAGATTAGGAGACTAGTCCGAAGTCATATAGTCCAAATTCAGAGACAGGGTTGAGAGCCCACTCCCTGGAATGGCTCTCTGGAAAGCTGCAAATGCCAAACATGCTTCCTGTCCTCTGTCCCTGATTCTTGCTGCGTCCTAGACCACCCCACACCTGAGCTCGCTACTTCTTCACCAGACTAGAACTCCTAGGAGGGCAAGACTCTGCTTTGTTCACTCTAGTTTCCCAGAACTCAGGACAGTGCTTGCCACCTAAGTGGAGATTTCATGTATACTTATTGAATGCTAAAAGGGTGAATGAAGGAAATATCTTAAAAGCTTTGCATCTTAAAGAGGCGGTTCGTTGCACTTGGGGATACCAAAACCTCGTTGAGAAGGGTGGAGCGTCTCTGAGCTGAGCAGGGAAGGAAAACTGTATCTTACATTCAAGAATCAGAAGGAAGACTGTCCACAAAAGAGGGACTGGTGGGCGAGTAGCCAGGGAGCTGAGCTGATATTTGTCCAGTCTCCGGTCTAATACCTGGGCCATGGTGATGTAGGGAGCTGTGGATGCCACTGGCTGGCAATAGCCTTTTATTTTATTTTATTTATAAGATTGATTTATTTATGCATACAGGAACTGAGGTGCAGGCCTGAGGTGCAGGCCACAGGTGCGGGGTAGGGAGGGGTTGTATGTGTGAGAGGACCCACCAGAGACAGAGTGGGGAGCAGAACAGGCAGACTGACTGAAATACACTGCTGAGGGGAGCAATGGGTGGGTCAGGAGAGGTCTGCTGTGCCATGTGGGTCAGCTCTCTGGCTAGGGATTAAACTTGGTGCTGCAGTGGCTGCTGATAGCATCACAGTGCTGTGCTTCAACCCACTGCACTACCAGGAAGGGACCTGGCAATAGCCTTTCTCAGGATGTGGCTTCCCACATGAAGAGGTATTGGACCAATATGTGTCACTAGGCCCCAATGGCAATGATGAGCTTGATATAAATGCATAAATACGCCCTGATCAGGAACTCTCTTGGGAATTGAGTTTGAGTGACTCAGTCAGTCGAGCCTGGCAGCTCCCACTGGTGAACAACTGGCAGCTCCGGAGCAGCCAGACTGCACAGTGGACTCTCCATCAAGATAGAGCTCCTGGCCCATTCATCCTCCTCAGTGCCAAGACTCCTCATCGTTCATTCCTTCCGCACAAGCAGCAGCAGCAGGGTGACCTGAGAATTTGTCGGATACAGTCTCCAGCCCCATCCTCAACCTACTGAAAGAGAAACCATGCATGGAGCCCAGTACGCTGTATTAACAAGGCCTCCTGGAGATTCTGGTCTGGCTCATGTCTGAGAGCTGTGTTTATACAGTTTCTCTTTCAGGACACTTATTACTCTGTGCTCGGGGCAGGGGCACAGCTAAGGTGACAGGGTTGGGGGTACTTACAGTAACAGTGCCGAGGATTGAATCAGTGATTCTTAGTTGGAAGGGTCAGAAGTTGGGAAGGAAGCCCCTACTATTTCAGAAAATCTCTAAGGAAGGGATTTGTTTGCAAAAGCATATTTAAAGTTATCATAGTTTTGTTGTTTCAATTTGCTATTTCATTTATCTTGAAATTTCAAAAGACATTTAAGGAAGGTATAGTATCACTTGTACCCCAGCACTGACTACATGTATAGTTCAGGCAGGAGGTGGGAGGTGGGGGAGGGGAAGTGGAGAGAGAGAGAGAGAGAGAGAGAGATAGGAGATAGGAGAAAGGGAGCATAGGACCTGCCTGAAAGAAGGCATGAAATGGGTTGCACAGCTTCTAGATGGAACCTCTTCAGTGCATGCCATGCACTGGAGTTGGCTCTGTGAAAAGGACACACAGCTAAAGTAGCCAAGGAGCTTCTGCACCCGAAGAGCTTACAAGAGAAAATTCAGAAGAGAGATTATTTCTTCCGGTTGGCAGATTTGGAAATACGATGTGTGGGACCTTTGATCAGAGTCTTGGCTTTTCAGTTTAGCCAGATAACAGCACATGTGAACTGATGAGAGGAAGGAGGGGGTGATGGGGGTTGGGTTGGGGTTTGATTGTTGAGTTAGGAGGCACAGAAAGCTTAGACAACTAGCAGCCAGTAGCAGTAGTGCAGTCATGTCCACCACTGGGTCTGGGGCCATAATTAGGAGAGCTGAGGCCAGCCGGGAACCAATACTGGCATTTATCCAAGAATTAATGTGCTAGTAATCAATCTTAATCATTCTAGGTGCTGTACAAGCACTAACTTATTATTCATGGTATAAGAATTATCACAGTTTTACTGATGATGGGATAACTTAAAGACACCTGGAGTTGAGCTAACTTTGCCTAAAGTCACACAACTAGGCAATGATTTACACACAGGCTTAAAAAAGAAACTTATTTATTTTTGCATAGAAGAGCTGGGGTACAGGCCAGAGGTGCAGGGGGTGGGGTGGGGTGAGAGGATCCACCAGAGACAGAGTGGGGAGCAGAACAGGCAGATCTACTGAAATACACTGTTGGGAGCAGCAGGAGGGTTAGGAGGTCTAGTGCGCCATATGGGTCAGCTCCCTGGCTGGGGATCAAACGTGTGCTGAAGTGGCTGATGCGAGCTTCGGGCTTCGCATTGCTACACTTTAAACCCTTGCGCATCCAGGGAGCCCACAAATAGAGAAACATTCTATGTAGCTGCAGAGACAGCAATCGGCTTCTCTGTCTCTCCCCAGGAGTTCCTGCAGACCTTCCTGGGAGCAGAGGGTGAGAGGAGAGGTCTGCTGTGCCATGTGGGTCACCTCCCTGGCTGGCCCGACACCTGCTGCAGATAGCTTCATAGCCCTGAGTCTTAACCCCGTGTGCTACCAGGGAGGCCGGCTTTAGAAGGCTCTCAAGCCTAAGACAAATCAATGCGCCTGAGCCCCGACTCTGCAGGCCTTCCTCTCACCTCCTCCAGCGCCTGTGCGTCCTGCCGGGTTGGAGACAGTGAAAGAATGGGACACTTACTTGGGAGGGTAAACAGGGGGCAGGAGAAAGCTCTTCCTTCTTTTTCCAAGCCTGAGCATTCCCTCTGGTGTAGGATCATCCGGAGACCAAGGTCTGGCGAACCAGCTACACTTTAGGCCCCTTCCCACTAGATGGCGGCCCCTAAAACCCAGAGACATTCTGGAACCTCCACAGTTCCCATTTTTCAGGGTCCGCCTGCAGTTAAAAATTTTCAGGACACGCACTCGCCTACCGTCCCAGGGGTCACGGACTACTCGCCCCTCCCCCCGCTCTGCCGCATCCGGGGGTCGCGCGAAGCCCCTAGGCTGCAAGGGGTGGGCGGGGTGTAGAGGCGCTGCAGGCGCTCGGCGGCGCCCGTGGGAGGAGCTGGCGTGGTGCAGCCCCTCCCAGGGCGCAGGGGCGGGGCGCTACTGCACCGCACGCAACCGCCGCGGAGGGAAACCGGGGACCGCGGGCGCCGGGCGCTGGTCGCGGGTTGCAGCCCCGAGGGCGCGGGCCCGGCGGCAGGTGCTCGAAGCGGACTACAAGTCCCAGCATGCCCAGCTGCCCTGACCCGGCCCCCGCAGCCGCTTAAAGGCTCCGGAGCCGCAGCCGTCGGGTCGCCCGGCTTTCGCTTTGCCCCCGAGGCTTGGCGGTCGGGAGCAGCAGGCTCGGCGATTGGCGGTTCTCCTGTCCGGCCCCGGCTGCACCGAGGGTCGCTCCTCTTCCAGCCCTCCCGGCTTGGGGATTTTCTTCCGAGGCGCCCGCGCTCCCGGGCTCCCGGCCTCGGCCACCCCGCGGCCCCGATGCCGAGGCATGGATAAAGCGGGGCTGCGCGCGGCGACCATGGGGGAGAAGAAGGAGGGCGGCGGCGAGGGGGACGCGGCGGCCGCGGATGGGGGCGCCGGGGCCGCGGCCAGCCGGGCGCTGCAGCAGTGCGGGCAGCTTCAGAAGCTCATCGACATCTCCATCGGCAGCCTGCGAGGGCTGCGCACCAAGTGTGCGGTGTGCAACGACCTTACCCAGCAGGAGATCCGGACCCTGGAGGTAAGGGAGCCGCGGCACGGAAGGGTCTTGGACTCAGGCTGGGGGGCCAGGCATCCACAGCCCGGGAAGCTGCCCCTCACACCTCCTCACTGCTCGGGTTCGCCCCTGCTCGCGTTCACTCCTTCTCCACTTGCATCCGTGAGCCGGGGTCGCCCCCCACCCCCACGCCCCTTGAGGTCCCTCTTCTTTCCCCACTGGCCATTGAGGCTAGCTAGCTTGGGGACCTAGCACCAGCCCCTCACTTAGGTCGGGTTTGGGGGAGGGGCGTAGTGAGAACTGGGTTGTGGTTCTGGGATTCCTAGAGCCCGAGGCACGCGGACATCCCCGGCCTCCCACACCCGCCTCCACCCCATTTTCAGTTTGCGGGGCCGCAGGACTCATTCTCCCACTGAGTCACTCGCTGGACTTTTCCCTGTGTGATTGCACCGAGCGTCGTGGGCAGGGACGACGGGGCGGGGGTAGGTCTCCCTGAAGTGTGTCAGGCCCGCCGTTTTCTGCCTTCCCCTCTCGCTCCAGACTGTCTGGTCCCTTCCTTTCCTCTCCTCCAGGTCCTTGTCGCCGCTTTTCGAAAAGTGTTTGCTGAAACTGCATTTTTGCTGTTTGGCATTTGGTGCTTTTTCACACTGCCACAGCGTTTTACTGCTCAAAATGTAATTAGCCATCGACTTATCCCACTCCCCCAAACACTGGATCATGGCTTCGGAAGGATTATGATGGGGGTGGAAGCTCTTGGTGCGAAGATACACTATTTAAGGGGTTCTGGTGAGGACAGCCTCCTGTGTGAAGAGATAAGCGATGCAACCCAGGAAAGTGCGGTATTGAAGCATTTGGAAGAACCAGCGAAAGAGATTGTTGGGCTCTCTGAAGGGGGCTTCCCTTCCCTGCCACACCCCCATACAATAGAGGATAACTAGTGCATTTCCAACTTGCTTTTGCCCAGAAACAGAAGTGGCTGTGACATTCCAGGGACCAATCCATAGTCACGCTGTCTTGAAGAGGGGATGTTTTTCTACCTTGCATTGCCACATCTGGCCTTTTGCAGGTCTGGAGGGAGGGAATGTTTTGTTTTATTAGAACCTTACTATGTCATTCTGCCCTCCCCCCCCCCCATTGCTAATTGCCTCTGCCAGCTGTCAAAGGGCCAGCCACTAATTTGTGGTAATTATTACAAGACCCAGTCCTTTCTCTGCCATGCACACCACAAATCCGAATCCCTGTTTGATCCAAAATGCTCAGGGGTGACTTCTCTCCTTCCGTTTTATTTTCCTAAAAACCACAAAGCCAGGAACATTGGAAGCGTGCAATCAGTGCTGGCTATTATTATTTTTGTTATGGTTGCTATAGCAGTACTGACCAGGGCTTTGCTTAAAAAACCAACCAACCAACAACCCCCCCCCACCCCCCACTCCACTCAACTGTCCCTTCTGCATGCATCTGCTGTTTCCAGGGTGGCTCGAGAAATGGATTTCTTGAACACAGCTTTACCCTCTCGGAATCTGTATCCTGACTGGCAAAGTCGCTCTTTCTGAAGATGTGGCATCATCCAGCTATATCAGCCTCTGAGCCCGGCTGTTCTGTGGCCTCCCTCCTGGGTGTTTATAGGGTGGTCTTCTCGGGCAGCCAGAAACCCATCCAAAGGCCCAGAGAGGATTTGCAGTGTAGGGGTAACCCATATCAGCTCCCTGCCCTCTCCCCTGGAATGTGGATTTGTGTGCATCCTACTCCCTGAAAGGCAGGATCTGGGTTGTTTTGGTATGGAAATGTATACCTCTGAGGTTCTCTATGGCTGCCATCAGCTAGTTTGGATGAATCACTTCATCCTGGAGGCCACAGCCTTCTTACCTAAATGAGGAGGTTGGAATGGATCTCTGCCCAGCTCTTGTGGCTCTAGATCCTGTGGTTTAGTGAAAGCGCCTCAGTTGTGTCCAATCCAGTGTTTGTTTTTCATTCCCCATTTTAAGAATATGTAACAATGGTTCTCATATCTAGAGTTACCAAATTGCTAGAAGAGAGGACAAGCTCATTACTCAAAGCATCTTGACAACAGGGGCAGTGAGCCCACAACTTTGAAATCTCAACTGGTGTCTGTGTGACTTTGGGCAAGTCCCATGACTTCTGAATCTCAGGCAGCCCCCTCTTTAAAATGCGGATGAGACCACTTAAACCGACAATAGTGTTGTGAGTTCTCCTCCCTCCCCGTGTCTGTAATCCCTCCCCGGTACTAATCCCTCCCCTGTACTACAGAGGCTGCCCATAAACTTTCCCTCCTGAGGGTCAAATGGCACTCATGCCACAGATCATCACTAGGGGTAGGTACTTCTATAGCTGGTCTTTCCTAAAGGTGGGTGACACAGATCCAGCAGCCTGGGTAGGGAGGCCTGCCCCCAGCAGTGTGTGGTGAGACCAGGCCTGGAGTAGCTTTCTTTCCTGTCCTGCGGGCTCCTCTCACACCAGGCTGGGGTCCCCAGAGACAGTGCTTGCAACACTGGATTCCTGGTTTTAAAGAAGGGACTGACTGGGGGGCTGGGGTTACATAGCCATGCCAGACTTCTCCCAGATCTCAGTCTTACTAAGTAAGCACTCAGTGGGAGAAATAGCAAGTGGGATGAAGCCTCTGACTTGGGCCGGCTGCTGGTACGTGAGGTTCCTGGTTGTGATGGTGTGTGTGTGTGTGTGTGTGTGAGGGGAGCATGTCTGGCTGTCTTGTCATGACTTTCTCTGTGGAGTGGTCGGTCCATTTTGGAGCCAAAAGAGAGAAGGAGCCAAGGTTTACTGTTTGCCTCTTGCCTTCCTGCCTGCAGGCAGCATGCTAGAACCTTCTCCTAAGATTTCCTGGCAACCTACCAACCTGCATCACACACACATTTTGTCTTTCGATGAGGGAAGGGAGGGAGATGGAATCTGAATTCAGAGGCTGAGTCTGTGAGCAGGAGTTGTGAGACTACTTCATTCTAACAGAACCTGATGCTCTGTCCCCATCAGACTAGCCTAGGGGTCTGAGAACACCTCAGAGGCAGGAGCTTATTCACCAGATGCTTATACCTGACGCAGACCTGCTGCTGAGCTTGGAGGCCTTTGGCAGTTTTCTCCACTCCTGACCTCTGCAGTGTCTGCTGGGTGCTGAGGAGATAGGGACCCCTCCCAAAGACTCACCTTTCATAGCCATAACCTTGACCTTTCCTGACAGCCTGGCCACACCAAATGTCTTTACCTTATGCTTTTGTAAAGAGAAATTCATCCTCAGCAAACTGACTTAGAGAAAGGGACCTCCAAAGGATGCCACACATGGGCCTTACTGGGGAGGGGGCATTGGGGAGCCGTGTAGGGACAATTCCTGCACTGTGGCTGCTTTCCCGAGGAGCTGCCCTAAGCCAGACCTGCCCTTCACTCAGCTGGGCTGTGTGGGGGTCCTGAGCGCTAACCCCCACTGCCCTGCCACCCCAATACTGGCTAATGTTACTGCTGGGCAAGAAGGGGCACTGTTATCTACAGGGTGTGCCAGGCAGGGGAACAGCAGTGATTTGCTGTGAGCACTAGGAGTTGGGAATATGAGAGGTGGGCTGGACCCAGTGTCATGGTGACGTGTCCTGAGTCACATACCCCTGACAGAACTGAGAGAGAAGCCATCCACCTTCTCCCTACCCCCCGTCCCCATCACCCCAAAGGCAGAGAAGTGGCATGTTTCTGCTTCCGCTCCACTGCCATAGTTTTAACCTCTGGCTACAAGATTACCTTTGGCCACTCTGAAGGGCTACAGAGCTGGGGCACTGTCACCTTTGCTGTCCACTGTCATCTTGACAATGTTTCCCCCTGCATACTTGCCCCTGGTGTTCCTCAGTGATGACCCTCACAGGGCCTGCACTTCCCAAAGCTATGAGCCTCCAAGCGCTGGGCTGGACAGTGCCGGAGGGAGGCCCTGTCGGATCTGCAGCCCAGGTGAGCGTGAGTGCCACCCGGATGCTGGTTTGCTGCCTGGGGCCAGTGATGGGGATGCCATCTTTCCCTCTGGTTCACTCAATCCAGGAAAGCGGCATTTCATGCCACTGACGTTCTGGACCCACCAGCTGCCTATGGTCTGGAGAGAGATTGCAAAAGCCCTGCCCTGGGTGGCGGTGTCTGTGGGGGTGGGGGTGGTGTCTGAAGGGTGGGGGCAGTAGCAAAGCTGTGGCTAAGTGTCTCAAGCTGGACTTTTTGGAATGGTCATCAGGAACGGTCGTCCTCTCAGAACAGGCTGATTGGAGTCTTTGCTACCTTTAGTTCAAAGGGATCCTGTGTGCATGCCTTTGAGGGATGGAGATGATCTTTGAGCACAGTGAGGACAGATGTGGCCCAAGAAACATCCCTGTTCCTGTTCTGTGCTGAACGCTCTGCTAGGCTCTGGGCACGTTTGCCCAATTTGACTGACACAAGGACCCTATGACATTTTATCCGCATTTACAGATAAGGACATTGCAGCTCAGTGAGCCATTAAGAGACTGAGTTGAGTTAGTGGCTGGTTGAAGCTGGGTGGATTGGTCTCCAGAGCTCAAGTTCTGAATTTCACAACTGCTTCTAGCAACCATGTGAGGGGGATACTGGTCTGGGTCATCACTACACTCTGGGAAGTGGCCAGACAGGGCCACTTGGTGACTCAATTCTAGATGACCGGGCCTATCACTGGCCACCCCCAGGCTTGCAGGCTCTGAGCTGGGGTGTGTGCCTGCTTGCCTAAAGTCTGACCTAGCACATCCTCAAAGGCAGGTCTCTGTTAGCAAACTGATGCAACCAGCTTTGCGTGGGTCTCATTCTGAGAAATGAGAAGCTAGAGATCACCTTACTCATAATTTTTTAAACGGACACCTGCCTTATTCTTTCTGAACAGTTCCTCCAGTCAGCAGTGTTCCTCCAGTCCTCCTAGTTAAAAAAAAAAAAAAAATTCAAAAATACAAATAATGCCACTTCTTGAAGTTCATTCTAATGACATTTGCTGTCTACGCCTCCAGTGTTTCTGTTCTCTATTT